CCAATGGTCCGGCTGCCCGGAGCACTTCCGGGTTCCTGATGGTGCCGGACCATCAGGAGTGCCGGACCGTCAGATGCCGGACCATCGGAGTTTTACTGTACTACTTCTGCCTTGGAATTCCCCTTCTATTTTTTTGGTTTAAAAATCATTTCTCTTTTTAAATGGATCTCTCTACTTAAGTTCCCTGTAAGCTGCCTGTTTAGTGCCGCACAGGCACTCAAGGAAGCCACTCAGGCCAGGGACCTGTGGCAGCTGGGGGCGTGCCCAACGAAATTTACTCCAGTAAAATTTCTTTTTTTATTCATTACTAGGGGACTGTGCCCACTGCTCGCTACACTCACCAACTACCCTCTCTCTGGCAGCTTTTGCTTTCGCAGCCAGAGAGCCTCATGACGTCATTCTGCCGTGCAGCAGGAAAAACGTGTGTGTGTGTGTGTGTGTGTGTGTGTGTGAGTGAGTGAGTGAGTGAGTGAGTGAGTGAGTGAGTGAGTGAGTGAGTGAGTGAGTGAGTGAGTGAGTGAGTGAGTGAGTGAGTGAGTGAGTGAGTGAGTGAGTGAGTGAGTGAGTGAGTGAGTGAGTGAGTGAGTGAGTGAGTGAGTGAGTGAGTGAGTGAGTGAGTGAGTGAGTGAGTGAGTGAGTGAGTGAGTGAGTGAGTGAGTGAGAGAGAGAGAGAGAGATTATTATTATTTTCTAGTGTTCTATTTTGAGGGCGGAGTAGGTTATGGTTTTCATATCTTGATTCTTAATAGCCTGCCTTTCAGAAGTTCTGAGTACCACTGTCAATGAGAACTACCTACCCCCTCAAAGTCAGGCAATAAACCACACTTGATCTGTATGGAATTTGACTTGTAGGCAATGGAAAACATGCTTAAATAAAATCCTGACCTGTTTGGCACTTCTTTCAAAGACGACATACTGCTGACACTGGTCAAGACGCCTTTTTCTCATGGTCCAGTAATGTAGCACACGGTTCTCCCTCTGGAAGAGTTCATTTAAGATGTCTGCAGGGACAGAAAAATGAACTGAAGATTATGGTCCTTCATTTTGTAATAAAGAGAAGTTGTGAAACTATAAAGCTCTGCAAATAATTACTGTGTTGTACTGAAAACTGCAGCAAAAGTTTCCTTCACAAATTTATTTATTTTTTCATAAACAGGGACATGTATTTAGTTAAAATAAAGACTGGTGGTTTGAGCAAAATGTGGTATTGAAACAACAGCCTTTTCTCTCTTGAAGAATGCTCCATTGCTAGAGAGAGCACTTGATATATTGTCCAGGTCAGTTCTGCTGGGCTGGTGAGGAAAGAGAGGAGGATAACAAATAGAAAAGATGAATTTAAGCATTCAGGCTGAACATAATCAATAATCATTTCCCATCCGAAATTTCTGGAGTTCTATAAAGTATGTGGTGTCATGCAATTCACATGGATGAACATACAACTGAGGAATAAATAGGCTAAGAGATTTATTCTTTTGATATCCTAATTCAGCTCAGACTTTACATATGCAGAAAACCCACTAAAATCTCAAATAAAATTAATTAATATCCTTTGAAAGTTAATAGCCGTACTACCAGTCAAATTATGCACCAGTTCAAATATTTCACAGACTATTTGGTCTCAATAAAATGAATGTAATACGTGGAAACGAAGCATGTAAAAGCAATTCTGCTGTTTATGATGACATCTCTCCTTCTCGCTCAAATGGTAGGCCTAGAGGAATCCTCACCTAACTCCCATTCTTAATTTGACTTTTCATCCCAACAATTTGGTTAACCAACATTTTTCCCTTTCTGTCAGTGGCAAAGACTGGATGCATTTTACTGTCACACAACTGTGGTAAAGAAAAAAAACAACAGTTACTTACCTTCGTAACTGTTGTTCTTTGAGATGTGTTGTTCATGTCCATTCCATGTAGGTGTGCGTGCGCAGCATGCACGTGTCAGCGGAAGTTTTTTCCCATGGCAGTACTCATCGGGTTAGCAGGGGAGCCCCTGGAGTGGCGCCACTATTTCTGCTAATATAACCCCAGCTGGCCTTCCATACTCTCTGTTCCTTCTTACTGGACTATTCAGAAGAAGCGGAAGCAGGCGGGATTTGGAATGGACATGAACAACACATCTCAAAGAACAACAGTTATGAAAGTAAGTAACCATATTTTCTTCTTTGAGGGATTGCTCATGTCCATTACATGTAGGTGACTCCAAAGCAATAGCCCTAGGAGGCGAGGTCAGAGTAGAGGACACCCTTACCCAAGGCTGAGTCCTCGTTGGCCTGGGTGGGCCAGAGCATAATGATTGGCAAAAGTGTAGACTGAAAACCACGTGGCTGCCCTGCAGATGTCCAGGATCAGGACCTGAGCCACAAAGACATGAAGGAGGCCTGGGCCCTAGTGGAGTAGGCCGAGAGGGGAGGAGCTGGTATCCCAGACAGCCCTTAGCACTCCTTGATACAGGACGTGATCCACGAGGAGATCTTCTGCACAAAGACCGGATGCCCCTTCAGCAGTTCTTGCTATGAAGAACTGTGGAGACCTATGGAAGGGCTTTGTTCTTTCTAAATAAAAGGCTACAGCTCTCCCAACATCTAACATGTGTAGTGCCTGCTCCTTGCTCAAAGCATGGGGCTTTGGGTAAAAAAAGGGAGAAAAATGTCCTGAGACATATGAAAGTGAGGCGCCACCTTCGGAAGGAATCGGGGTGGAGATGTAAGTGGACCTTGTCCTTGAAGAATACCGTATACGGGGATCTGATGTGAGAACCATCAGTTTGGACACGTGCCTGACCGACACGATAGTCACAAGGAAGGACACCTTCCAAGAGAGGTGCATCAGCTAACATGTCGCTAGGGGCTTGAAAGGGGGCCGCATGAACTAGGACAGAACTAAGTTTACGTGCCGGGCTGACACACGTGGGTAAAGTCTGTTCAAACCCCATAAAAATCTGTGAACTACAGGATGCACGAAGAGCCTTGTGTCCCTAGAGTCCGGGTGAAAGGTGGAAATAACTGCCAGTGGGACCCTGACTGATGAGGACAACAGTCCCTGGACCCTAAGGTCAAGGAGGTAGCCCAGAACCGGCAGGACCGGGGTGTCCGTCAGGGAGATACCCTTTTGAGCAACCCAAATGGAGAAGTGCTTCCATTTAGCCAGGTAAGTGGACCTAGTGGAAGGCTTCCCACTACCCAGCAGGACTTCCTGCTCCTGATCCGAGCACTGGAGCTCTGCTGCTATCAACCATGGAGCTTCCACGTCATCAGGTGGAGGGACTGTAGGTTCAGGTGGTGAAACCTGTTGAAGTCCTGAGTTATGAGGTCTGGCTAGGTCTCTGTTTCTTCTGTGGCACCGGAGACTGAGACTGGTGCTGAGGTGCGCAAGTGGCTTGGTGCCTCCTGAAGCCGGTGCACTGTGGGGTTGTCGGTGCCACGTGGATAGCCACGTCTATGACGTTCAGGCGGGACTCTTGTTCTCTCTTGGTCCGTGGCTTGAAAGCCTTACAGATCATGCAGGCCTCCGACAGATGAGATTCCCTAGGGCACTTAAGGCAGGCTTTGTGGGGGTCTCTGCAGGGCATAGGCTTCTGATACTTAGTGCAGGGCTTGAAGCCTTGGGGCCCAGGCATGACCCGCAGCATGCGTGGGACACGCAAAGCAAGCGTTACATGTAAGTAAAATACTAACACTTAAAAGCAAATTAAACTATTTACAACTGAGATAAGAACTAGCAGTAACAAGCAACAGAACTACAAAAGGGTGAGAACTGCTGGGAGCGCTTGCTGAGCAAGAGTAGAGCAGGTTCCAACAACCTTGTGAGTGGAAAGACGGATCTGAAGGGGTGGAGGGCCAGCAGGGGTTATATATTAGCTGATAGAGCAGCGCCACTCCAGGGGCTCCCCTGCTGGCCTGCTGGGTGCTGCTAAAGGAAAAAACTTCCGACAACGCGTGCACGCAGCACGCACACCTACATGTAATGGACATGAGCAATCACTCGAAGAAGAAGGGGAAATTCTGGAGGGACATTTAAAACAGGACTTGGTTCTGGTAAAAGCCATGGGATGGAAGGGGCCTGATGCTGATGGAGACAGTAGTTGGGGAGGGAGACAAGAACAACTGGATAGAAACTGGCCATCAAAAAATTTAGGCTTGAAGTTAGATGAAGGTTTCTAACCATTAGGGGAGTGAAGTTCTAGAACAGCTTTCCAAGGGGAGCAAAAAACCTAACTGGTTTCAAGACTGAGCTAAATAAATATATAGAGGAGATGGTATGATGAGACTGCCTACAATGGCATTTGGCCCATCTGCAACTTCTGTCAGCAAATATTTCCCATGGCTGGTGACGGGGTATTATGTGGGGAGGGCTACACGTCACTACAGAGAATTCATTCCAAGCTGCCTGGCTGATAAGTCTTGACCACATGCTCAGAGTCTAACTGATGACCATATTTCCTCCCAGGGCAGATGGACTGAGACCCTGGAGGTCTTACATCTTCCTCTGACCCACAGAAAAATCAATCGGGGACCCCACACAAGTGAGAAGCAAACAAACAAGCCCTTATTGATGCGGCCCCAACTGAGAAGGAAAAAGAAACTTCTCACATTCTCTTCACACACCAGAGCCTAGGGAGGCTTAGGCTAGTAGATTTTGTGGGTTCCAACTCCAGGGTGGGACAGCGGGAGGGCTAGTGCACCAGCGCAGACTCCCCGTTGCAGGGGGTTGCTCTGAGCCTCCGGGGCTGGATCCAGGCAAACTTGGGGCCGCATCCGGCACCTGGGCCCCCACTCTGCACTGCAGAATGGGGCACAAGTCACTTGCTGGTTAAAATCAGTGTAAATTGTGGATTCTGTGTCACTTGGAATCTCTTAACCATGATCTGAGGACTTTGGTAACTCAGCCAGAGGTTATGAGTCTATTATAGGAATGGGCAGGTGAGGTTCTGCAGCCTGTAATGTGCATGAGGTCAGACTAGATCATCATAAAGGTCCCTTCCGATCTTAAAGTCTATAAAACTTTGGCCATGTCTTCACTACATGGGAAGGTCAAATTAAAGTGTGTCAACTCTAGCTACGTTAATTACATAGCTGAAGTTGATGTACCTTCACTGCAAACTAGGTCAACAAAGGCAGTGATCAGTCCAGCACCTAGTAAAGACACAATGAATTGACCTCTGAGTGCTCTCCTGTTGACTCTGGTGCTTCACCAGAAGGAGGAAAGAAAGGGGAGTCAATGGGAGAGTTCTTTCTGTTGACTACAGAGGTGAGGACATCACAGTAGGCAGAACTAAGCATCATCTTTTGAGATATGCTTCTAAAGTAACTCAAGTTGTGTATCTTAGATCAATCTGTCTCTGTAATGTAAACCTGTCCTAAGAGAGATTAAAGCCAAAATTGTTATACGCATCCACTAATATCCACTAACTGCTGCCTCCACAAAAGCTCCACAAGATGTTAATAAGGAAGCTTGGTAATAGCAAAGTAGCAAACTGCGCTGGGAAGCTGTCTGTTGCTACACTGGGTGCACTGCCAGGCTAGTGATGTGCATGGCAGATACAGGATAGCTGTATGCAACTTACAGGCAATGTTAATACTAATTCAGGGTCAATGCACAGTACATGGTCAACAGGACAACTTGGCCCATTAATACTATCACCTCCTAATCTGGTAAGAAGGCCAGTACCAGATTGTACCTCTACCCACTTTACCTACTAAGCTCCCATTCCGCTTTTCTGTCAGGTTTACCTTGATTACATTCTTCCCCTCTCTGTTAACAGTCTATCCGCCTACCACCAGCTCTCAAATGCTCATCCTGTTGAAACATTTCCCAGATTACTGTGGACATTTCAATGTATTACAACATTTCCAACTGGACACTACATAAAAATGGACATCTTGAAAGTTATGTAATTGGAGTCAATTGTGGTACACAGCATGTAAGCTAACTGGAACGGAGTCCATGCTATCAGAACATTGTACAGATGGTGTGTCAGTGAGAGACATTTGGCTGTGCTTTGCTATGTACGGTTAATGCTATTAGTTCTTTAGAATGCCAAGAGCCAGAAAGAGATATTGTAAAACAGTGCCCAAAGTTATATAACTAAAGTGCATTCAATCCAGCTGCTGATAAGTAGCTTTGCATATTTCCATCTCCTGAATTATAACCCCCTCTTAGTAACAGTTGCCTCTCATACCTCATCCTCCAATGATAGTTAGGATAACTGTTTCCTAAACTTTTTTTATTTGTATTGCAGGTACCACAAACTGCACCTCTTGAAGCCACCTTCTTCATTAAGCGGGTATGGGGAAAAGGGCTGCTATAGTTGTCTATTGAAAAATACTTTTAAGTGTTCAGTACTAGACACTGACTGGTTCCAGGGATTGTGGCAGCATGGTGGGGAGAGCAGAGCATGCTTTTAAGCTCTCTCTGATAGATTCAGCAAAGGGAAGAGGGAAACAACTAGTCAAGTCACTACATGACGATCTGATAAACATAAGCATAGTCGACTAGTTGCTTACTTCCCTAGTAAACAGAGGTCTTGCAGTGGGTCCATCGACTACTCTAGATATTCACCTAGTTGTACAACAGGCTACATAAAAAAACCACTAGCATAGTCAGTACAAACTAAAATTTCATAAGCTTCAGGGGGTAGCCGAGTTAGTCTATACAGGATAAACTTAAGAAACAACAAATGGTCTGGTAGCACTTTATAGACTAACAAAACATATCGATGGTATCATGAGCTTTCGTGGACTTCTTTATACTGTTCTATATAGTAGAAAGCTAAGTAGAATATTTATATCCCAGTTGATTTATTTTAAAATTATATGGTAAAAATGAGAAAGTGAGCAATTTTTCTGCAATAGAATGCTATGAACTTTTTGTATATTTACGTCTGATTTTGTAAATAAGTAGTTTTTAAGAGATAAAACCTGGGCATATGTAAGACAAATCAGACTCCTGAAAAGGGTACAGTAGTCTGAAAAGACTGAAGGCCATTCATGTAGGAGATACGAAAAGTACAATATAGGTACAGTAAACCCCAAAAGGATACAGGTTGGCACTTCTCCACTTCCTTCACTTACTTTGTGGTTAACAGTAACTGAGTTGATTGCACACCTACTGTGAATGTTCCAATAACAATCAGCTTATAAGCAAGTCGTTTACAAGTGTTTGCAGCATAGCAACACTGGTTCAAATACTTTAAAAAAAACAACAACCAAGCATGAAGTTGTAAGATAAAACTCTTTTGTAAGCTATATATTTCTGAGGGGGGCCACACAATACATTGTCTTGATGTCTGCATACAACAATTCATTTTTATCCCTTCTAATATTCAGTACTGTGATGCCTCTTCTGTCTTCCATTTCTAACCATGTATTTATATGAAACCCACAATTCATTCCCCCCTAACCAAAAACATCCACAAACACAGTTCAACACAGCTTAGCTTTCAATTTCAACATAGCCAAACTGCATGAAACAATGGGAGAAGGTTCTTCAACGTGCAGTGCAATGAGAGGACGCCCCTTCTTTCTGAAATACTTGAACACACTGTATTTGTCTATTCTAGGACTCAAATAGATTTAGCTGTAGTTCATGTATGGTTCTATTGCAGAATGATCCTTATTGTTCAAACGGTCTGGTAGCACTTTATAGACTAATGAAACATGTAGATGGTATCATGAGCTTTCGTGGGCACAGCCCACTTCTTCAGATCTTCATGTTTCATTAATCTATAAAGTGCTACCAGACCATTTGTTGTTTTTTCCATAACAGACTTAACTCGGCTACCCCCTCAAGCTCCTTATTGTTCAAAACATTCTCTGAGTTCTATCCCTTTCCGACTCCATTTCTCCTACCTCATTTTTTTTCTGAGTTTGAATCACTTCATATAACACCACATCTTTTCTCTTCCATCCCAACTGCACACCCACTTGTACCTTTAATAGAGCCATTAAACCTTACTACTTAAGCCTCCCAATTATTAATCAACTGTCTTAAACTAGACCAGAATTTCAGTAGGCCCATATTAGAGATATGATCATCAAGGGGCCCAGTCTTGTACTCTACTAACACAGAATTCCCATTGCATTCTGTATATCCTAGAACACCAAGTGTGCTTATATAGACTCATTGGCTGTGGAATTGTCAACATTTCTGTTTGAAAAGCACCATACAAAAATAAACTATTGTTTACTCAAGAATAGCAATGCACTTATGTCTCCAATTGTAAACTAAACATGACATTACATTTGAAAGATATAAGTTGAGAGCAATCAAGCTTCATTTGTGTGAGAAACTTGTGATCACTCATGTTGTGGGTTAAATCTAAAATACTGTATCCTCCCTGGTAGGGACTCAACCTAATCTTCTCAGACTTGTTGCATCACATAAAGGCCAAATACCTAAAAAAATACTTACTTTTGACTTGTTGTTCAGGAGCTTTGATGTGAGTCACCATCCCTGGCATGTTTACACTATTCCTGTGCAGATATTTCAGGAAGACATCAGCATTCCTCCGGGCCAGCGTACAAGCCTATGAAAAGATTTGGTAGCATTTGATATTGCTGCATTTGAAGGGGCATGCACAGACACATGGATATATACCCATACTCCTTTTGGTGCTTACTATATCCTATTCTATACAGAGCAAACAGTTAAAATATAGTTATTTTCCAAGCAAATAGCAGTAAATCCAAAACTAGGTTATCTGGCACTGCACATTAAATAGTACTATACATAATGTATTACCTGAAGTTACTTAAAAGTGATCATTTCCATACTTTTAGATGAGGTTCAAGGCACACAGAGTGGATAGTTTTTATGTATTTGCCATTAGAATTATTTATTATGTAAACCAAGTGCACGACCTTTAGCAATCACCTGGATATTGTAAAACATTCAGCATTAGTTTATACAGAAAAAAATAATTGCTCTGCTGAAATGAAACCAAAAGTGCTGAAAGAAGACATGCCCTTTAAAGGTCTCAGAAGCATTAAAACCAAACAGCAACAAAACAGCAAGAATCTAGTTGCATTGCCAAGACTCAACACAGCTGCTTTCTTAACCTAAACTTCTGAATATATACCAAACACTATATATGGGCTTGGTGTCTTTTGTTTGTAATAAATCTGGAGACCAAAATACTACCTTAAAAGGTTAGATAAAGGCAGCACAGATATGACCAATGACAAAAATCAATGAGACAGTAATTTAACAGATCATAGTCACCTAACAGACCAAAAGTTCAGACATTTTCATGACAGCTCCATTTGACACTACCCCTAAAATTCATGCTTTCAGTAGTGTTTGCACCTTAGTATCGAACACCAAGAGACTTTTTAAAGTTTTCAGTGAGGTATATTGTTAAGTCTTTAAGAAACTTTACATGTAGTCTTTTATCGCTCATGAGTTATTCCACAGGTCTATCTTTAATATGTACAAGATTGATGAACATCGATACCCCAGCCATCTTCAACTCCTTGTTTAGTCAATTTTCTCATTCTTTAAACGACAAGACCGGGTCAGCCAAGCAGGTTAAACATGAACCAATGACCTCCAAAAGGGCTTTTTATTTCCTCTAGCTGCTGTCTTAGCTCAGTCCCAACTGTGGATCAGTATTACAGTGCAACAATGACCAGACAAAGATAGAGAATGGAAGTGATAAAAGCCAGTAATGAGATCCTTTATTCTGATTTGTCAATAGTCAGTACTTTAATATACCATGGGATGGTCATTCTGTAAATTTACTGACAATATAGCATTTGTCATGCAGTCACATGTCCCACAAGTAAAGGCTATCACAACCAGCAAACCCCATTTTCGAGTGCCACTAAAATAGTACTATTGCTAAGTCACCTTGCTTATTAGCAAAAACTGAATACAAGTGGCCCAAAACCCTCTATTACCTCATCTTTTCTACAAATTGCTTGTGTACTGAATTTCTTACACTACTTCTAAGGTTTTCTTACTTCTCTGGAAAACAGCAGCCTTCATCCCCTTTTGCTTCCCTCTCCTAATATTCTCTCCCCATTCTCATCCTGCTACCTTTCCCCCTTCCCAACTGGCTCTCCTCTTCCAAAGTATTTTTTATTTATAATTTGGTTAATAAATATGAAACACCACCTTCATTTTAACAGTAGAATTGTAACAATAGAATTGTAACAGCAATACTCAAAAACTTGGTGGCACTGGTGAGTTTTGGAGTTTTACTGTAGATTATTATTTGGACTTTAAGAGACACTTACAACATACTGCAGAAAAAGCAGCACGGAATCAGGTTTCCCCACTGCAGCTTTAGTGCTGCTGGGAGTGGCTCTGAGTCATGGGTAGCCACTGTGGTGAGCAGCTGTTGCTTCTTTTAAAGAAGTAGCTTTTAAGTCCTCTAAGAAGCAGTGTCTGCTGAAAAGAGCAAATCCTTTTTATCACAATGGGGGATGCCTGATTTACATAAACTGTCAAATTTTATGCACTTGGCAATGTTCTAATCACCACGAGAAACAGTAATATGCCATTTCCAGTGTAATCACCATTCAGGAGCTCATGAAGTCATGCATGTGTCACTGGGTTTTACAGGTGAATTCTAGACATGTGAAGAAAAGGAGGTTACTGCATGTTTCCCAACACATAGTCAACAATATTTTTACCTTGAGAAATGCTTCTTTTTGTTCAAGGTGCTTGCTTATCATAGGGGTCACGTGATCTGTTTCAGAATTAGGACCCAATTTGTCTGCTCCCCCACACCAGTCTTCTTCCCGCTTATATTCCTGCTCCAGACTTTCCAGAACACTGCACACCTGCCAGCCAAAAGGAGACAAATATCTCTAGTTGAACACTGTGAAGTAGTTTGAGCCAAGAGATTTGAGACTAAGAACCCCAAACATCTAATCCCAGATCTGACATAAATGTTGACTGTGTCTTTAATTTATCAGTTTTTCATCTCTCTTCTCTAAAACAGAGATACAGCACCACTCTCTGCCCAGGACATGATATGGATTACAACTCATAAGAATGGCTGTACTGGGTCAGACCAAAGGTCCAGCTAGCCCAGTACCCTGTCTGCCGACAGTGGCCAGCGCCAGGTGCCCCAGAGGCAGTGGACTGAAGACAATGATCAAGTGATTTGTCTCCTGCCATCCTTCTCCAGCCTCTGACAAACAGAGGCCAGGGACACCATTTCTATCCCCTGGCTAATAGCCTTTTATGGACCTAACCCCCATGAAATTATCTAGCTTCTCTTTAAACTCTGTTAGGGTACGTCTAGACTACATGGCTCTGTCGACAGAGCCATGTAGATTAGGTTTCTAGACATAGGGCAATGAAGTGACAATTTAAATAATCGCCGCTTCATTTACATCAAAATGGCTGCCACACTGTGCCAATCAGCTGTTTGGCAGCACAACGCGGTAGTCTGGACGCTCCGCGGTCGACAAGGAAAGCCCTTGTCGACCACCCCATTATGCCTCGTGGAATGGTTTCCTTTGTCGACCACGGAGCATCCAGACTACCGCGCTGTGCCACCAAATAGCTAATCAGCACAGCGTGGCAGCCATTTTGATGTAAATGAAGCAGCGATTATTTAAATCACCGCTTCATTTCCCTTTTTTGAGTACACTAATCTACATGGCTCCGTCGATGGTACCCATTAATTTCATTTAGTGTCCTTTAGTTCTTCTATTATGGGAACTAATAATACCAGTCATAATTTTATATCTCTCTATCATATCCCCCTTTAGTCTCCTCTTTTCTAAAATGAAAAGTCCCAGTCGTTTTAACCCCTCTTCATATGGAACCAGTTCCAAACCCCTTATCATTCTAGTTGCCCTTTTCTGAACCCTTTCTAAGGCCAAAATATCTGTTTTGAGGTGAGGAGACCACATCTGTACACAGTATTCAAGATGTGGGCGTACCATAGTTTTATATAGGGGCAGTAAGATATTCTGTGTCTTATTTCTATCCTTTTCTTAATAATTTCTAGCATCCTATTTGCCTTTTTGATCGCCACTGCTCACTGTGTGGAAGTTTTCAGAGAACTATCCATGATAACTCCAAGATCTCTTTCCTGATTTGTCGTAGCCAGATTAGCCCCCCATCATACTGTACGTATAGTTGGGGGTATTTTTTCCAATGTAAATTACTTTACACTTATCCACATTAAAATTCATTTGCCATTTTGTTGACCAATCACTCAAGTTTGGTGAGATCATCATCATCACCACCACCACCACCACCACCACGGCCTCTATCCCTTTCCAAGGCCAAAATATCTTTTTTGAAGTGAGGAGCCCACATCTGTACACAGTATTCAAGATGTGGACGTACCATAGTTTTATACAGGGGCAGTAAGATATTCTGGGTCTTATTTTCTATCCGTTTCTTAATAATTCCTAGCATCCTATTTGCCTTTTTGATCACCACTGCACACTGTGTGGAAGTTTTCAGAGAACTATCCATGATAACTCCAAGATCTCTTTCCTGATTTGTCGTAGCCAGATTAGCCCCCCATCATACTGTACGTATAGTTGGGGGTATTTTTTCCAATGTAAATTACTTTACACTTATCCACATTAAAATTCATTTGCCATTTTGTTGACCAATCACTCAAGTTTGGTGAGATCATCATCATCACCACCACCACCACCACCACCACGGCCTCTATCCCTTTCCAAGGCCAAAATATCTTTTTTGAAGTGAGGAGCCCACATCTGTACACAGTATTCAAGATGTGGACGTACCATAGTTTTATACAGGGGCAGTAAGATATTCTGGGTCTTATTTTCTATCCGTTTCTTAATAATTCCTAGCATCCTATTTGCCTTTTTGATCACCACTGCACACTGTGTGGAAGTTTTCAGAGAACTATCCATGATAATGCCAAAATCTCTTTCCTGATTTGTCGTAGCCAGATTAGCCCCCCATCATACTGTACGTGTAGTTGGGGTTATTTTTTCCAACGTGCATTACTTTACACTTATCCACATTAAAATTCATTTGCCATTTTGTTGCCCAGTTTCTCAGTTTGGTGAGATCTTTTTGAAGTTTTTCACAGTCTGCTTTTGTCTTGACTATCTTAAACAGTTTGGTATCATCCACTAACTTTACCACCTCACTGCTTACCCCTTTCTCCAGATAAAACATGTTGAAGATGAAAAGTATGAAACAGGGAGCAAAATTTTAGTTATCTATGATGAGATTTCAATCAAGTTACAATCAAAAGTGTTCTCTTACATGAGGGGCCATCTGCACGTAAGACACTTTCTCTTAGAAAAACCCTTTCCAGAAACTGAAAAATCCAAATTAATCAGTTACCTAATTCTAATCTGAAACAAGGGTGAAATTATAAAAAGGTCAAGTGGAGTAGATGGGGATTTGAGATGTAGCTGACTTGCTATTAAAGAGAAAATCTAATAGAAGACACACTTGACTGTTATTATTAATGTAAATAATTTGTAATTAAGCATTTTACAAACACACTGTTTTATCAATTATGTGTGGGTTTCACTTTCTTCTCAATTCAGAAAATAAAATTTCACTGACTATACTGAAATTTGGTTATAACCAGTTCCATTTTTCTAGCCTCAGTTAATATAACACTGTTAGCATTTCCAAGTTCTAAATAAAATTTTTAAAATGCCAATATTTCTGCTAGCATTTTTTAAATAAACTTGAGCCCTAAAAATAATTAACTCTACCACCTGAGCTGCAAAGGTATTTTTATAATAAAATACCACACATTCCTTTATTATTCTGCAAAGCATGGGTCTTCAAAAGTTCCTATACCTGCTCTGATGTTTTATAGAAGGCAACGGAAGCATTCACAAGTTTGAGACGGTCCTCCATCTTGAGCATCAGTTGTTGCCAATGAGAAGCAACTTTCTCAGCGCAGTCCCTGATCATATCCATATCATAATGATTAGCCTGAAGCATCGCCTCTGCTTTCTGCTGCACTTGCAGTGCACTTTGATGTGTTTTCTGAGAAGTTGAAATAAAATATTTAATTACATAACATTTAAATGCATTTGCTTTAAATCCAGGTTTCATTTTTTTCTTTGCACTGATATTTTCCACACATGTATCTGAGCCACAGGAAACATAGGACCAACAATAGGTTGCAGCATAACTATTTATAGGCAAAAGAAGATTTAACAGAAATTTATCATCAGTAAACAGTGACTATCAGTCTACAAGCACAGCAACAGAGCAAGCCATACTATTCTTGCCAAGTTACAGTGCATAACCTGATTATAATTATGGCTTTCAGATTTGTTCTCTTTGGAGTGGGAGAGGAAAGGTGGATAATATAGAACCAGATACCTCAGAGGGAGAATAGGACTGAACCTCAAAGAATAAGTAACTGTTGCATCTGTTTGGATACAATATCACTGTACTGCTATAAAAGTATATTGAGTAAGATCTTGTATGAATGTCGGTGAAACAGTGGTGATGACTATCATTGTCTAATGCATGTAATAGCATATGTAGAATTAGGAATATTCACTGATACTATGCTTAAGTGTACGGCTAGACTGCGGGGGGGGGGGTTTCGGGATACTGGAGGTATCCCAAAAAAACTCCGCCACATCCAGGGAACGTGTTTGCTCTTCCATTTTATTTTTTGGAAGAGCAAACGTGCTCTTTCTAAAGCCCCTGTATTATCCTTCCACAAGAAAGAAGGGGGCTCTGGAGAGAATTTTCCCCAAAATTTAGCCCAGTTGGAAAAGCCTCTTCTGACAAAAGAATTGGAAAAAAGGTAAGCAAAATGTCTTGTAGTCTGGCAGTACTCTTAAAGTCTGTTACCAAACAAAAAGGAGAAACAGGTTGTCACTCAGACATGTTGGAGATTGGCTATCTCCAATGCAAATTAAGCATTGCAAGATCAAAACTACAGAAACCCTTTTACATACAAATCAAGAGGGAAAAGGGAAGAGTGTCACAAGTCTGAACACCAGGGTGCATCTTGAGTCTGTGGACAAAACGGTGAGTTTTGGACAATACAACGGAAAGTAAAAAGACACCATTTTTGCATCCATCTCTAAGCAGACAATAGTGTAAAATACACTTTGAGCCTATGAAAGCTGATACATGTAAGACAATTGCTTAGGTACTAACTGGAACTTATTAGAATTAACAGTCACAAGAAAGAGCATTCTGTTTTATTTGTAACCTTTCCTCTCTTTCTTTTACTCTTACTTGCAATCACTGATTTCTTCTTTCACTAGGTTATTTGATAGTAAACATATTCTTGCTTTATTAAAAAAACATGCCAAGTGCTACCAGACTGTTGTGTGCTATTTCTTTGGAGGCAGCAAACTCGATAACTTCTCTGAGGGTTGAGAGAGAGAGAGAGAGAGAGAGACTGGAAGGGCTGTTTGTATCACCCTTCAAGGAGTAACCACGTAGACTGGAGCCAAGCTCAGGCCACTATGCAGTGAGCTGGCTGATGGTTTCAGGGCTGCGAGGCAAAGCTACGCAGCACAGAGGCTAAAGGACAGGCAGTGACACAACTTTTTACTGGTCTGAGTGAAACCTCAAAGCCTCACAGCTTGATAACTAGACATCAGAATTATTCTCGTCCAGTATTTTCACTTGTGAAAATGGAAAGAATAAGTATCCAGAGGGATGTGAAATGAGCCAACTAATTGATTATTTATTAACAACTAGGGGGCTGTACCCTGCTCGCTACGCCTGCCAACCTCCCCCTCCCCCTGGCTGCAAAAGGGGTTGCCCCCTGCTTGTAGGATTGCCAGATGGGTTACTCAAAAATACCAAACATCCCCCGCCGCCCCCCCAAAAAAACAAAACAAAACAAAACAAAAAAAAACACAAAAAGGGGGGGGTGGGGGGGGGAGACCAAAGTTGTTCAGCAAAAAAAAAAAAAGTTTTAAAATAAAACAGCATTAAAACAGCTTTAAGTGCCTGCAAAGTCAGAATAGGTATAGCAAGAGGGGAGATGTTGAGCACTAAGACCCAGGGAAGGCTTCAGTTCTTTAGGCTTTTTGGCAGTGGCCATTTTGTTTTCTTCATGGAACCAGGATGCAGTTTCCCTGCGGAACCAGGTAAGCAGGTGGGCCTGGGCCCAGGCCCAGTTGCCAAGTGTATCGTAGGGTTCCCTGGTGTCCAGAATTTTCACCTCCTGGCTGGGGAAAAAACACCAGAAAATACCAGACATTTTCTGAATTTTTTTTTATCGGACAGGAGGCAAAAATACCGGACACTTGGCAACCCTACCTGCTCGCTACGTTCACCAATCACCTTCTCTCTGGCTGCTTTTGCGGCCAGCGAGCATGACGACATCACACTGTCACCAAGCAGGAAAAAACTTTTTTATATGTATATAGAGAGATATTACTTAACATTTGGTCCCACAGCAAAAACTACAAATTGTGAAGAGATGTGAAATAGAAAACCCCACAAAAAGGCAGAAAAACAGAAGGCATTTACTATAAAAAAGGAGTACTTCTGAAAACAAAAAAGCTAACCAACTTCCAGAGACATGATTTTTGTATTCAGCAAAAATAAAATGTTGAAAATATCTTCATACACTATCATCAACAGCCTCTTATGTCCCATAACAGTGCACTAACATTTGTCTTTAATTATTTATCGAATTTTAGATCAAAAGAGTGGACACTATTAACACAAACATACTACTAATGTAAGGCCTTATAAAGATCAAAGTATTAACAAAACCTACTAATTTACACAAACAATACACTAAAGTTATGAGACCACATCAGAAAAACTTTTCTCTCATTTAAATGATGCGATTTGTGCATATTTCCCATTTGCAACCAATTTGTCATTATATTAGATTAGTCTTAAAACCTCAAAAGCCATAGGACCCTATTTCAAAATTCTGTTTGCAATAGTCTTTTGTTTGATTAAATCTGTCTCAGCCATTTTGTAAATACATGGCTTAAATATTTACATAAAAGTGATTTACCACTGCCCTTGACTTATTAAAAGCACTGCACTGATATAGAGCAGAATTGTAACTGTCAGAATCCCAGCTACCCAAACTCCCTTTCGTAGTGGCTGTCTCATCTCCCTGTTATAAATGGACTCCACCTATTCACTCCACATGTACAAACTCATGTTATTAACCTTTTTGTTGTTGCCCAAGTGGTGACAGATCTATCTAGTAGGTACATAAAGATTTAATCTATTCCTGATGTTGCTTTATGATGATTGCCATGAACTGTACCATAAGAGCTCATCTTACTGAAGAATGGTACAAACCACACACTTTTTATACCTCTATAGCATGCTGGAACTGCTCGTGTTCCCTTTGCAGCTGTTCTGCCTCCTGCAGGGAGCTAGCTGTGATAAGCCCTGCATTTAACATAGACTCCCCATTTCGGATCCAGCCCAGCACCTGAAACAGAACACAAGACAGCACAATTTAGAAGTCTTTGCCTGATTAATAAGAAAAGCTTCATTTCTGTTATTACTCAGAAGTAAATTATTTGCAATTAACACTACTCAAGGACTTGCTCCACAATATAACATCCTTGTTGTGCCTGGAAAATAACATTAGGTGAAGTTATAGATATGACTTACAAAAACTAACACATTCATTTAACTCTCTGGCTGTCATGTTTCATATAAAAAATTTGAACCGTGAGCATCATAATTGTACATATGTAACTATATGCACATACAAATAATAAGATAATGGCCACTGTATTAAAAAAAAAACTTGGTTGTCAAACTGAGACTTGAGCTACCCTTACCTTATTCATTAAGCCAGTCTCTCTCAACCTTTTTTAAATAAAGTACCCCCTTACAAAAATTATAAGTACCACCTTTAAAAAAAAATTAGAAGTACCCCTAGTATCTACAGTTTTTAGACACACAGTTTTTTTTTCCTACCATTGCAACACATTTATTTAAACAAGTTAATTGTAGCTGGGCGGGCGATGAAATTTTTGGGTATAAAAAGTACAAAAATAATAAAACGCTGTAAAATTTACAACAAAAATTCAGTTTTCTCCAAATTTCAGTTGTGTTGAAGTACCCCCCAGACTTCTCTCGAGTACCCCTAAGGGTACTCGTACCACTGGTTGAGAAACACTGCATTAAGCCATAGAACATACTAAGAAAAACTATGGGACTAAAGTTAAAGCATGTTTTGGGCTACTATCTCCCCTTTGCTTTTTGAATGCTCATGAGTGAGTTGTTCTGCATTCCTGACAGGCATGAACCCTACTGTTTGACACTTCTAAGAATAAAATCCCATTTGGTTTCCAGTGCAATACAAATGTGATCGCACCCATACACAGCAGCAGGTTTAAAATGCAAACAAGTCAAGTAACTGGTTACGGCACTGCATAACCACAGTAACTCGGAATAGGATCTCCCCCTCCAGCAGGGGGATCAGCACCAAGCCTAGTTCTCTCTCTAACAGCTCAGAAAGTTACAAACACCGAGACCTCTCTTGACACGTGCATGCATGCACACGCGTGTTCTGTTTACATTATGTGTCACTTCTCCCTCCCATACTATCAAAAATGTCAACATCTTTCTTTGACTACCAACTAATACCTGGTTATAGTTAATCTCAAAGGTGGAGTTGCCAAGACATGTGGAAAGCATTTCAAGGAAAGGAAACCAGAAAACAAATTTAAAAAAATCCAACATTTTCTATAGTCTCAACATGAAAAGGGTTAGTGTAGAAAAATATGGAAACGCAGAGTTAAGGTACCTCAAACAACCACAAATTTGTTCTCATACTTACACCATCCTGTGTATCATATTTTAAGGGAGCTATACTTAGAACAAGCTTCAATGCCACAAAGTCTCAGAAGCTTAGCCGTGTTAGTCTGTATCTGCAAATCAACAAGGAGTCCTGTGGAATCTTTAAAGACTAACAGATTTCTTAGGGCATAAGCTTTTGTGGGTAAAGCCCACTTCATCAGATGTATTGAAGTGGAAGTTACAGAAACAGAAATGTATATATAAGGAAGAAGTTGCTTGTGTTAATGAAGCAACTTCATTAACTGATCAAGTCAATTTGAGAGTGGGTCATTCACTGCATTTGGTCTGGAGATGTGAATATTCAGAGAGGGGAAACTGCCTTTGTAATGTGTTAATATTTCGAACATACTACTGAACATTGCACTGAGCCACACGATTCCTCCTACCTACACTACAAGAAAAAGAATTCTATGTGAACTCCTCCTGATGGCAGAAATGAGAGCCTGGACTTCTACACTGAGTGCTTCTGCAAACATGCACAGGCTAACATTGTGAACAAACATCATCACACGCCCCATAACTTCAGCCCTACAGACCTCAATGCTATTGACAGCCTCACACACAATTCCAGCATTACAATCAAATGGGCTGACAATGGAGGTGCTGTTGTCATCATGAATAGGTCCGATTGTGAACAAAAGGCTGCGATGCCACTCTTCAACACTAGATTCTACAGGCCACTACTCTCTGATCCCAGTGAGGAATAACAAAAGAAACCACGCCATGCACTCGAACTCCTTGAAATAGCATGGGACCAAATCTACAAAGCCACACCCCTACTGCCTCAACCAGGAGTACTCTAACTGCTACCTCACATCCATAAAACTGGAAATCCTGGCCACCCCATCATCTCAGGTAGTGGCATTCTTACAGGAGGGTTACCCAGCTACATGGACTTTTTCCTCAGCTCCTACTCTACCAGCACTCCAAGCTATCTTCGACGCACCAGTGACTTTCTGAGGAAACTACAGTACATCAGTAATCTTCCTAAAAACACCATCCTGGCCACCATGAATGCAGAAGCTCTCTACACCAATATTTTACACAAGGATGGACAACAGGTTATCAGGAACAGCATCCTTGATGATGCCATGGTACACCTGGTAGCTGAGCTCTGTGACTTTATCCTCACCCACAACCGTTTCCAATTTGTGGACAATTTATACCTTCAAGTCAGCAGCACTGCTATGGGCTCTTGCATGGCCCCATAATATGCCAACAACTTTATGGCTGACCTCAAACATTTTCTCATCTCCCATCCCCTAGCACCCATCTTCTACTGAAGCTACAATGATGACATCATCATATGGACTACCGGGAGGAGACTCTTGAAGAATTTGACAGGGATTTCAACAATTTCCACCCCAACTGTCAACCTCAATCTGGAACAATCCACTCAAGAGAGCCACTTCCTGCACACTACGATACAAATAAATGGTCACATAAATACCCCCCCTATACTAACCACTGTTCTTACCTACATGCCTCTAGCTTTCATCTAGGTCAAATTACACAATCCACTGTCTATAGCTCAGCCCTAACATAGAACTATATCTGCTCCAATCCCACAGACAGAGACAAACACCTACAGGATCTTTATGAGGCATTCTTAAAACTTAAATACCCATCTGGGGAAGTCAGGAAACAAAGTGACAGAGTCAGACAAGTACCCAGACATCACCTACTTCAGAACAAGCCCAACAAGGACAATAACAGAACACCACTCGTCACCTACAGGCCCCAGCTAAAACCACTCCAATACATTACTGACAATCTACAACTTAACCTAGAGAAACAAAATACAGGACTATGTAGCACTTTAAAGACTAACAAGATGGTTTATTAGATGATGAGCTTTCGTGGGTCAGACCCACTTCCTCAGATCAAATAGAGGAAGAAAATAGTCACAACCATATATACCAAAGGATACAATTTAAAAAAATGAACACATATGAAAAGGACAAATCAAATTTCAGAACAGAAGGGAGATGCAGGAGGGGGGGAGGTAAATATCTGTGAGCTAATGGTATTAGAGGTGATAATTGGGGAAGCTATCTTTGTAATGGGTAAGATAACTAGAGTCTTTGTTAAGACCCCGGCGTAAAGTGTTATACCAAAGGATACAATTTAAAAAAATGAACACATATGAAAAGGACAAATCAAATTTCAGAACAGAAGGGGGATGGAGGGGGGGAAGGGAGGAAGGGGGCAGAGAGAGGTAAATGTCTGTGAGCTAATGATATTAGAGGTGATAACTGGGGAAGCTATCTTTGTAATGGGTAAGATAATTAGCATCTTTATTCAAATTTGAGTGTAAAGTGTCAAATTTAAGCATGAATGACAGTTCAGAGGATTCTCTTTGAAGTGAGAATCTGGCCCACGAAAGCTCATCACCTATTAAACCATCTTGTTAGTCTTTAAAGTGCTACACAGTCCTGTTTTTTGTTTCAGCTGCACCAGACTAACACGGCTACATTACTACCACTATCCTAGAGAAGAATCTCTCACTCTCACAGACCTTGGGAAACAGACCAGTCCTCGCCTATAGGTATTCCCCCAACCTGAAGCAAGTACTTAGCAACAACCACACCACAGAAACACCCAGGAACTTATCCCTACAACAAACCCCATTGCCAACTTTGTTCACATAACTATACAAGCGACAACATCACAAGACCTAACCACCTAAGCCATAAGATCAGGGGCTCATCCACCTGCACATCCACTAAAGGGATCTATGCCATCAAATGCCAGCAATGCCCCTCTGTAATGTATATTGGTCAAACTGGACAGTCTACAACAACAGATGAATGGACATAAACTAGACATCAGGAATGGTAACACATATAAAGCCGTAGGGTAACACTAACCTCCCTGAACACTCAAGCATGGATTTGAAAGCAGACACTCTTTTACAAAAGAACTCAAAAAAACAGTTTACAAAGGGAGACATCTGAACTGGAATTCAACACAAATTCAACACTATCAACTTAGGACTGAATAAGGATCTCAACTGGTTAATACATTACAAAGGCTATTTCCCCTCTCTGAGCATTCACATCTCCAGACCAAATGCTATGAATGACCCACTTCCCACCCTGACTTCATTAGCTTCCTTAACACAAGCAACTTCTTCCTTATATATTCTCCTATTTCTGGAACTTCAACGCCAATACATCTGATGATGAGGGTTTTTACCCACAAAATCTTATGTCATAATAAATCTCTTAGTCTCTAAGGTGTCACAGGACTCCTCATTGTTTTTTCAATGCTCCAGTGAAAGACCTTTTGCGTTGCACTTTATACAGGTTTGACCAGGAATATTTTAAATCAAGATAAGTTGGGGGTTCTGTTATAGATTTTAACAAGTCTGCAGCTGTGAGGTATATGTAGCACAGGGGCCAGCAAACTTTCAAAAATGGTGTGATGAGATTTAACTTATTCACTTCTATTTATGTGTCTGTGTGGCATCAATACTTTTTAAAGTCAATAATACTTCTGCTTACAGCAGCTTCATTAATAAATAAATGACGATGCAGGCCCTACCATTTTAACAACACAGGATTTAAAAAAACCCATTAAAATCAGAATTTTAGACACCTGCCACACTCCAAAAAATTCTCTTAAAAGAATCTTTTTCTTTCTTACTTTGGGATACACAGGCTTAAATTTTGGCTCCATAATGGATTTCTTGAGTAAGATCAGGTAAGCCCCCAAGGGTACATCTACACTACAGATGGAAGTGTAAGTTACAGCTCAAGGAAACATACACACACTAAGTTTAGCTGAGCTAGTGCACTGAGAGTAGGTCTGCACTGCAGTTAAAAACTCGCTGCTATAAGATGTGGAGCACATACCCCTCCTGGTAGCACTAAAAGGAGCTGAAGATGCACCCAAGTGTCTGAATGTAACACTGAGCTGGTAGAAATTTTAAAATTTTTCTTCCTTTTAGGGAGCAGGAAAGGACTGTTTCATCCCAAACTGTCGACTTCGTCGAATTGATTCCTCTTGTGTAAAAAACATCAAGCCAATATTTGTGAAGTTTTACTATGGTACAATGTGAGCAACTCTATCCAACTCTATTAGGCATCAGACTTTACCAAATTAATCTTTTGTGTGTCTTATTTAAGCCTCTGTTCCTTCTTTTAGACCCTCCCTTATCTACGCTAATTTTAATTTTATTTTATTAATTACCACTGCTGTGTCAGTGGTCGAGGTAAACTAATTAAGGCACCAGCAGCCATGGGTGTTTTTATCACCATGCCTACTTCTTGTGCTCAAAGCAGGATTAGACAACGTCAATCAAAATATAATTAGTTGCTAGAAAGTCATCTTCACAAAACTCTGTCTCCCTCCATTGCTATCACTGTTGGAGTTGAGGGAACTAAATCCAGCACAGGCATAGCTTATTTATTTTCACTAGATAAACACCCTGCACTATGACTGCTTTTTCTCTGCAATGTACCATGCCAACCTACTGCGATACATAAATTAATCAAGAAACATGAAAAAGTCAGCAACAGGAACATTTTTGATAAAATGAGAAAGGGAGTCAAAATAAATGCTTAAACTGAAAAAAGTAAAAATCTTAGCTATGGAGAGACTACTGTCTCTATCTAACAATGTTGAATTTGGGTGTAAGTATACAACAGTTAATTGGGCAGGAAATCACAGTAATTTAACTGTGGAAACCATGTATTCAGGGCTTCCGGCAATAAAATACAAACAAAATAGTTTCAAAAGGAGGTTTATTATGTCATGTTACTCTCAGACAGTGCACCTGCTTAAGTGGAAACAACAAGTGGCCTTGCTTCCCCCTGCCAAAAAAACCTCTCACATATTTGCATTAAGGAAATAAAATCAGAGAAATTAAAGTTACCAGTCCCAAAACATTTCAAACATTAGTAGAATTCTAAGAACACCACACAAATGTAAAGCATTGGACAATGTTTTTAGATTTATAGAGTTTTCAGCCTTAAGATAAGAAAAGTATTTTTAGATCATATGGATAATTTGTAAGTTTCTCTCTCAAGTGTTACTTTATGCATTCTCTCAGTTTGGTGTTTAAATAAGTATTCATATTAAGCACATTTTATGAACTTATTTGAAAATTCAAATGCCTTTAAAAAATGTGACAGGCTATAAACGAAAATATTTGAGTTATTATAATAACTCCTAGACCAGAGGTTTCAACCTTTTTTACACTGTGGACTGGCAAACCCTTTCACAAACTTTTGGCAGACGAGTAACATTTTATTTACACATTTGCATGTTCATTATACAAATAATGAATATGCACACATGCAAATTAAATGTTACTGGTCCTCCAAAAACTCTGGCCCCCAGAGCCAATTGGTGACTGAAGTATATAAATGTCCTGTTGCTGATATTGCAACAGTGCCTTGTGAATATCTGCTTTCACTGTCAGAGGCTATTGTAAACTAGAAGCAGACAACATTATCTCTTGCAAATTGTAACCAAATTTGTTGAGTGATTGGAAAAGAAGGATTAAGTGGATTTGTAAGCTCTGAAGTTTTACATTGTTTTATTTTTGAATGGAGTGTTTTATTTTTGAATGGAGCGTTTTATTTTTAAGTAAGTCTATATTTGTAAGTTCAGCTTCCACGATAAAGAAATTGCACTATAGCACTTGTATGAGATGAACTGAAAATTTAATTGTTTTGTTCTTTACAGTGCCTACATGTATAATGAAAAATAAATGCAAGGTGAGCAATGGGCATCTTTTTCTGTGTTGTAATTGAAATCAGTATATTTGAAAACATGGAAAATACTGAACAATACTTAAAATAAATAGTATTATTGTCTAACAAAGCAATTAATCAATTTTTAATTGCTTGACAGCCCTACTGAACACACATTTTAAATGTGTCACTGAAATTTCTCACAACTGCTGTAGGACATGTGGAGTATTGTGTTCAATTCTGGGGCCCCCATTAGTTGGAGTTGGACTGGGTTGCCTCCTGAGGTTTCTTCCAGTCTTAGGATTCTCTGGGTGTATTTACACTGCAGTGCTATTTTGGGATACCAGAGGTAATAGCTCCCCAGCGTCTTCACAAGCCACCCGTTATTTCAAAATATTTTTCAAAATAACACCGGTAACCCTCATACCATGAGGGTTAAGGGATGACTTGAAATAGCACCTGATTTCAAAATAAACTTGAAATAAGTATGCAACTTGCATAGCGCAAATTGCATATCTTATTTTGAGTTTAGAGTGCAGTGTAGACATAGCCTATTTGTTCAACAATATTAGTCAATGTAATTTTTAGCTGTTCCTCCCCTCTTGCTCTCTATTCCCCCAGCTCTCATACACAACTGTAGTTGGCAGGACATTGTAAACTGTTGTAAGCATTACATATACGTGATTACACTTTAAATGTAGTATGCCAGGAAATATGAACCAAGCACTGCATCCTGTAGCTTAAAATGAGATTGTTTCAACTTCACTGGAAAGGGAGGGGTTGTACAGCTGATAATACCATTCAGGTCCATCAGCACTTCATAAAGAAAAGAGACTCTGTCTCAGCTGGGAAGTGAGTCTCTGCAATCAACATCATATTATGCAGATTGGACATCATAGCCAACTGCTATTTTCTTTTCAACCTCACAAGACAGCATGTAATACATAACAGAAGGCTGGGCTAAATCATTGTGAAATCTCTTCCACCCCCATTCCCCTTATATTAACTCTGTAGTCATTGTAACAAGCACTGCCTACAGTGTAGCACTCTGCATACTGGCCAACACTTTTGCAGCCTGAGCTCCTTGCACACCAGGGGTTCCTTGACCCCCTTCATTCCCCTTCACAAGCTCCCAGTAGGCCACCTTCCCTCTACTTCAGGGATCCCTGCAAACCACCTGTGACAGCGCGTTGGGGGTTCCCCGTTTCCTGCACCCCAAAATGGCACAAACAGACTGCACCGGCCAGTGGAATTGAGGGTGGTTTATTGCTCCTCCAGCACAGCGCAGCACAGATGTAATCTGGTTACAGGAACTGAGGGCTAAGAGGTCTCAATGCCCCCCTTGAGATAGGGGAGTCCCAGCCCCCTCCCCAGCTCCTTCTTCTCTCCCTTTCAGCCAGCAACTCCCTAACCCTCTTCCAGCCCTGCCCCCCAGTCAGGGCAGCATTCCACCTTCCTTTGTTCCTCTCCATGGGGGGTGTCTGGCCACTGGTTCAACAAGTTTGGCATTACCTTGGCCTAGTGAGGTTTTCCCTGCTGGGTCTTGCTCCAGACAGCAGGGGTCACCACAGCCCAGCAAGTACCCCCACTACGTCACACCACCACAACCCTTTTCCTCATGCAAGCAGCTCTGTGTGTCCCCCCTCCCATGTCCAGGTTCCCCTGTCTTCCATCACCCACATCTCCCCATTTCCTTCTTCTCTGAGAATAGATCAATCAGGGTGACAACATTTTAAATGATTTGGACAATGGGTAGAGCCCAGATGGGTCCTAGAAGATGTTCACGGACGTCGTCAACCGGTTCTTCGATCTATGAACAATTACAGCTGGCTGAATCTGCTGGTTCTGTTTAGCAAGTGCAAGAACTCTATGTGCTCCTTTCCCCCTTCTCATTTTCCTAATTTCACAAAATCAGTAGAGATCCATCCACCCCCACTGATGCTTAAAACCATCTCTGAATTCTGGGTTTGATACCATGCAGCAATCAAAGCGATCTTATTTCAGAAAGACAGAGATGCCATCAAGCTGAGTGAAAGGCCACACTCTGCTCAACCAATACAACGGCCCAACTGTGATGCATGATCCTTCTTTACTGGCAGGAGCTGCAAGCAAGGCACCTGATTTGATCACACTGCAAAACTCAGGGAAGATTTCAAAGGATTTGTTTACTGTCTGCCACAGGGAAGATACAAAAATGGACTGTACTATCTAATTGCTCTTCAGACAGCACTGTCCTATAGCAAAGAGCAATCATTAACTACAATTAAGCTAGAATTATCCACTTTGAGTGTCAAAGGTCAAAAAAGTGTCCTTGATGCTTCACTGTCAGGCCAAAAACCTGCAAGAATAAGTTAACATACACTTGTCTTACAAAATAGCTACCTTACATACACATGCCAATATATGGAACATATACACATATCTACTCACAACATACAGAACATATTTAGCTCATACCTGTTTGACTTCAGCCTGCAGGTGGCGCAGCTGTACACACTGTTCCAAGTGTTTCCGATGCTGTTCCGCTGCCGAGTCCAGCTCCTGTTGCTTCTCATGAAGAAATTCCAGCAGATCCTGAACACGAGTTGCCATATCTACATCTCTGTCACAAAGTAGCTCCACACCTGTAGAAATCCGTTCATTTGAAACATACATGGATTTAATTTCCAGAGGAGTTACATGTTATAGTTATTATATAGCAACCATTTCCAATTCTGTAAAATATACTAAATATATTTATATTTCAGAGAATTTGATGAAGGATCTTAAACATTATTTCCAAGTGTTCTGCAATGAGTAAGTAAATGCTCAACATTATCCTGAGATAAATCCTTAAAGTCTATAATATCGTGTGAAGAATTAAATGCAGCAGGATATCGCAAAGAAAATCAAGTGAAAAGTATTAAGAAATTAAAATATGAATTACTTTTACTTGTAAAATCAATACATAATTTACAAACAAGTCTGATCTCAGAATATAGTCCCTGTACTATTAATTTTATTCTTCTTTCTTTTACTTCTTACAGGGTTTCTCTCCACCCACCCCCCAGCTACTCCCCCCAGCCCCAATTTAAACCTGAGCATTTTCATTATTAATAGGAGCTACTTTATTAGTGATCAGCATGCTTCATCTATTTTATTTAAAAGTTATGGAATTATTTTCAAGTGTAATGAGCAAAATACATGTCCACTCTCCTCCTGATTGCAACTAATGGAGATCAATGCCATGCTCAGACATTGTTAGTATCAGCTTGGATAATCCCTTCAAAGGCTTTAACCTGAATAAGATGGGACAGATCCATCTTACCAGAGGCCTGCACTTCATTGACATACTGTAGCAGATCTTGGCCTTGGTGGATGACATCAAACGTCAGGTTATTCATGGTCAGGGCTTTGTCTGCATGGTGCTGGAGTCTCTGCTCTGCTATTGTAAGATCTTCAGTGTCAAAGTCATTCATCTGTTGAGAGAGCTCATCATTCCACGATTCAAGGTCTGAAATTATCTGATGCAGAGAGGAGAGTGGAAAACAGTAGGATATTGTTGGGATTAATAACTACAACATGCCTAATTTGTACTTGAGAATAAGATGATCAGAAACTCAAAAACAAGTTAGAAAAAATATGCTTTCCCCCTCTATCTGTTCTTCCCCCCAGCTAACAACTTTAAAATGTCCATTCAGCAGAACATCTAAACTACAGACTATTACTGACTTGTACAAACAAGGGCTGTCTGAGCAAGTTTTGGAAGTTATTAGTTTTGCGGTGATGTAGGCAGGCAAGAAAATTCTGCTCATTTCAGAGACAAGAAATTCCTCCTTGACATTAGCGCTGGATCTGTGGCCGTCAGCAGAATGTGTATGCTGCACATATTCATTTTTAATATCAATTTACAAGCATGTCACTTTGTAGGCAGTAGAATTATTGTGTCTAAATCCATGGTTAAATGAAACCAACTTATAACACCTCATGTAGAAAAATCTATTGACGTATGTTAAGAGTGGTAAAAAAACAACAGTCATACAGCAGTATAATGTACCAGTCTAGCCTTCACTTATGCCACTCTCAGGTACATTCAAAAATATATTAATAATACCGTGATTTGTGAGCAGGAACTGTCTGTTTTCTTGAGTTTGTTCCATTACCAGCCAACTGCTTAGCAAAACTCTTGGAACAGCATATTGAGAGTTTTATGAAGTGAAGCTCTAGTGCAGTAATTTTATAACCTATACAGTCAATCTTACAGATTAAAGTCTTGCATGGAAGCGTACTCACACTTAATTTACCTATATTTGCATATCTCTGGACACAACTGCTAAAATACCACGTAACTGATGTTGCAAACAGTATTTTAGGACTTCAAATCAAGTGCAAAGTCATTTTGCTTCTTCCCCAGTGTGTGTTTTTACATATGTTGATTTGAACATTAGCAGCACTCTTGTAACTGTTTTTATTACAAGCACTACAGCAACAGAACTACAGAACTGCAACTACACTGCTATGGCATAGACACTTACTATAGTGAGAGGAGTTTTTCCTGTCACTGTAGTAAGCCCATCCCTTCAAGAGGAAGTAGCTAATTTCAAAGAAGGACTAACACTGTCCACACCATGGCATAGGTTGACTTAACTGAAGTTAACCTAAGTTTTGGTTGTATATCAAGGCTAAGGCATATTCAACTATCAGAAACTGCAAACATTTAATCAAATACCCAAGATGGCCATTGGACTCAAACTTTTAAATTTGTTTCATACAGAGAAATCTCAAACTCCAACCTCATCCTTCTTGTTTTCTCTCTCTTATCAAAAACAAAACAAAAAACCCACCCCATCCCACCTTTGTTGGGCTCACATGTGTTTCACTGAAAACTAGTACTTGGCCTGGGAAACAAGTCATCATACAAACCATTTTGTTGGGACAAGCCTATTCCTAAGGCATTGTGATTTTGGGAGCAATGGGCACCAACAGAAGAGAGATGAGAAGTAGAAAACATTGGAAAAAAAAGATAACCAGCTAAGAGGTGCTATGCAAAAGTACAGCTGATCATGCACAGATGGTTTTTAAACTGCAGAGATGGTTTTTAAACTGCAGACCAGCTCCCACCTGGGCACCCCATAGTGGGGTGAGTGATTCAGAGGCAGCAGCGTGGAGTGGCTGGGGGCTCTTTGGGAGTGGGGCCAGATTGCACATGCTGCCAGCCCCGCCCCGGGGACTATAGAATAGTCGATTAACCAATAAGAATTCATGATGTTACTCAACTATTCAATTAACCGATATTTAACATCCCTAGTACAGACAGGTGGTGTAAGGTGGGTAGTGAGAATGCAAGTCCTGGGGATGGTGCCTAACTGGCTATGGGAAAAAATGGCACTATTTATTGTTTTTATATGCTGTTACACAATGGGGGGCCCTGACATTGATGGGACAAGAGATTACTCAGGACTGAAAAGTTACAAGAACACAGAAAAGTTGCACAAAAATCCTGAAGCATTACTGGTACCCAATGGGTTTATCTGGTCAGGTGGGACAAAAAGCTGATCAGAAAAGATCAAAGCCTAAGCAATGCATAGAAGGATTATGTGTTTGAATGCATTTTTTCCTCAGGTAATTTTGTATGTTGCTTACTACTAGACATCATTCAAATTAGCCACTTAAACACAATATTTTAAAGGCGTAACGTAGGAGGTTTTGAGGTTTGCTGCATTGGGTCCCTTAGGGAATGATCATGGACACTGCACACCAAGTTAGCGCAGGTATAAACTGCAGTGCAGACAGTGAGGCATGGCTTTGCTGAGTAATTAATAATACCCTAGGTCATAGAATCATAGAATACTAGGGAATAGAAAGGACCTCAACAGGTCATCGGGTCCAGTCCCCTGCCCTCATGGCAGGACCCAGTACTGTCTGACCATCCCTGATAGACATTTATCTAACCTGCTCTTAAATATCTCCAGAGACGGAGATTTCACAATCTCCTTAGGCAACTTATTCCAGTGTTTAACCAACCTGACAGTTAAGAAGTTTTTCCTAATGTCCAACCTAAACCTCCCTTGATGCAATTTAAGCCCATTAAGTTCTATCCTCAGAAGCCAAGGAGAACAATTTTTCTCCCTCCTCCTTGTGACACCCTTTTAGAAACCTGAAAACTGCCATCATGTCCCCTCTCAATTTTCTCTTTTCTAAACTAAACAAGCCCAATTCTTCATAGGTCATGTTCTCTAGACTTTTAATCATTCTTGTTGCTCTTCTCTGGACCTTCTCCAATTTCTCCACATCTTTCTTAAAATATGGTGCCCAGAACTGGACACAATACTCCAACTGAGGCCTAATCAGTGCAGAGTAGAGCGGAAGAATGACTTCTCATGTCTTGCTCACAACACACCTGTTAATGCATCCTAGAATCATGTTTACTTTTTTGCAACAGTGTCATGTCAACAGACTCATATTTAGCTTGTGGTCCATAATAACCCCACACAGATGTTTTAGCAGTGTAGTAGTCTGCTGCCACAGTAAAAAAAAAGCACAAGCACATTGAGACAAAAGCAGAAAGGCTACAGTACACAAAATGAGTTACACCTCCCAAGAGACATAACAGGCAGTAAGGATACGTACAAACTAGAAATGCTACAGCAGTGCAGCTGCACCACCGTAGTGTAGACGCTCACTATAATAATGGCAGGGGTTCTTTTGTCACTGTAATAAATCCATCTGATGGGATCCCAACAAAGGCAGTCAGGGCCAAGGTTCAGAGCAGGGAGAGACCTGAGACTAGAAATAGACAAGTACTTTGTACTCAGGTCCAGGCCAAGGTCAATACCAAGGTTCAGGGTCCAAGCCAGGAGGAGAAGTCCAAATCAAACCAAGGCCAATTTAGGAAGGGCTGTGGCATCTACAGAAGATTGGCACTATTGCCTGGCCACGTCTTGGAATGCCCCTTGGGTTTATATAAAGCTGAGAGCTAACAGGAGCCATGGGGTTCAGGAAGTGGCGCACAAGTTGTTTACAGCTGCTGCTGCATGGCAGTCTGGAGATATCAGCCGCCTGGTAGCTTTACAGGCCTGGGTTTCAGACCTGTGGGTACGGCTCTGTGAGCTGGGACAGCTGATTCCTGGCTCACACCCAGTCTCCTGCTACGCCTGTGCTTCCCCTGCCACCCCCTGGAGATGGTGCTGGAGGAGAACCGGCAATCGGCTTTTAAGCCAGCTCTCCCCAGCACCGGCTCCTGCTCCCCCCTTGCTGCCTCTCTCTGATAGAGGCAGCAAGAGGAGGCGGGGAGTGACTAGTTGAGTAACTAGTTAACTCAGTGTTTCTCAAACTGTGCTCTGCAGAGCCCCGGGGCTCCACGAGTCATCTCCAGGGGCTCCGCGAGGTTGACAAACTGGAAACATCGATAGGTACAACACATGCAATCAGTGGACCGCTGGGGCGCCGCATACATTTTTACGCATGTAAAGGGCTCCGGAGCCCAAAAAGTTTGAGAACCGTTGAGTTAACTTAATCACTTACATCCCTATATGGGGTAGTGGAGTGAATGTGTTCTCTGCCCCTCTCAAGCTTCCCTGAGCTGAGTTTTGGCACAGCCACTGAGGAGCCAAAACACCTCTAGACAATCACCTTTATTAGTGTAAAAGATCATTCAAACACTGTTTGTCCCCAATTCTTTCCTTCCCTCCCTCCACACTGCTCCCTGAGCCCATGCAGAGCCCCATCTCTCAGGGCAACAGCTGTGGTGCAGTGAGCAAGCGAGGATTTGAAGACTCTCAGCCAGTCTCATTGCAAGATGGGATCTAGGGAACCCTACCCCTCTGGAAGGTTCTGAGCCCCTCTGCATGAGTAAGCAGAAGAGACATGCTTAGCGCATGCACAAAGCACAGAAACTGAGGAGCGGAGCTGGAACACAACGGAGGCCCACAAGCATGGCAATCTTGGAAGTAGGGGAGGGAGAACAGGGAAGAACAGGCACTTAGATGAATGTAGCAGATCACGTAATCAAAGCTATTGATTTTGCCAATATGCATCCCAGAGGGTTCCCTCGTTCTCACTCACACTATTGGCCACTTCTACAAGTCTCCTCTGCTGGAAATGGATGTACAGAGCCCCATGCTCTACACTGGTGGGGGACCCACTCTGCTTCTCTACTCTTCTGCCCTTGGCTGCCTCCAACAGGTACAGGCAGCTCACAGCTCCACCACTTTCCCACAGCCCCTCCAACTTTGCAGGGCGCACAGAACGACAAGGATGTGGGTGGAGTTGGCATGTGAGAGAGGGGCTCAAAACAACAGGTACATGTGGGGGGCTCAGAACAGTGGGTGTGATGGAAGAAATGCTGGAGTAACTGGAGCAGGGGAAGGCAAATCTGAGCACAGGGGAAGGAACAGGTGGTGAGAGCAGTGCAGAGGCAGTACTGGAACAGTGTCCAGTAGAGAGGACCAGGGTCCGAGCTGTGAAGTGAGGTTGCTGCAAGGTTTCAGCCAATGCAGCCATCCAATCATAGGAACTGATATAGCCCCCATCCCTGTAGTCCGTAAACGCCTCACAGTGCTTCCCAGTGCCACTTATTTTCCAAGCAGATAGGGAATGGACACAGGGAGATGAAGTGACTTGCCCAAGTTTACAGAGGAAGTCTATAACAGAACTGAACCCGAGTCGCCCATCTGCCAGATTAGTATCTCAACTACTAGACCATACTTCCTCTCATTATGCACCATCTTTGTCTGGAAACGGGTGACAGGGGAGGGATCACATGATGATTACCCTGATGTGTTCCCTCCCTCTGTGGCATCTGGCACTGGCCGCTGTCGACAGACAGGATACTGGACCAGATGGAACTTTGGTCTAACCCAGTATGGCTGTTCTTATGTTCTCTGTCTCCACTCCTTAAAAAATTGCCCCCACTAATTCCATGCTACTGCCTGCAGCTTCTTCTCAATCTGCAGGTCCCATGCTGATGACTGTCTGTAGGGAGAATGGAGAATTAGGATGTGTTGGCCAGGCAGAGAGAAGGGACCAACATGCAACCAGGCTAATCACTGCTAATGGAACTGTAGTAAGGGGGGGGGGGGGAGATTTTTTTTAAAAAACGAAGGTAAATAATGCCAAAAAAGTCACTGATGGAAAGTTAAGGCTGCACAGTATGCTCTGTACCCATTCAGGGAGAAAAAAAGAGAGGGAGAGTGGCTAAACTTGGAACACCTGAAAACCAGGATAGCTCAGTTAAGATCCACAGTACTCCCTCAATGCAACTGGCCGCTTCTTCTCTGAGGATACCTCACCACTCTGCCTTCATAAAGGTTATACAACACTGTGGGAACAGCACACGTGAGCACTGTTGGACACAATCTAACACTTTTCCTTAGCTAACTCAAGTTTAAGCCGTGTGTAGCAAACAAGAGCTACCTGCACTCAAATACTGAGTCTGCTCTACATAAACCACCCTTCACTTTTGCCCCAAGATTACTTCTGAGACACTACCTTCATGTAACCCTCAGTAAGCGCCTAGATCAGTGAAGTATGTCACCAGAGTGCTGACAGTCCCTGTGACACCTTTGTGCAGCTCTATTGACATGCTACCAAATTCAGTACTGAAATGAGGCATATCTGATTACTCATGATATACAAGCACATCTCACTCATCACAGTTCTGCCAAGTTGCCCCAACAAATCTCTCCCGATCCAAAACAGAAACATCTAGCACAACTAATGTAGCTGGAATTCCTGCAGATAAATACTGGAATTCAGCTATGTGGAACACAACACAAACAATGACATGTTCTTAGTTTTTCCTTATATTTCCTTTCACAAATATTTAACAAGGAAGTATATCGCAGTCCAGAGAATTTCACTCAGTTACTCCTGTACTGGGCCTAACAGTTTGGGTTGGCCCAAAGGATCTTCCATAAGATTCTTGATTTCAAGACACGAAGAGACTGAGAAACCACCACATTTCAGTAGTTTGTTAACTTTTGCACCACCTTTCCAGTGGCTATTGCCAGCTCTAGGGAGGCGGAGTTAAAGTTGCTCTGTGACGGCTGGCATGAACCTTCACTCTTCAATTCTTTGGTTTCACAGATTTAAATTTCAGCACTCTCCATGTTCAGGCACCACCGGTCAGCTTTAATTCTGTATTAAGGTTCTCAGAATTTTGGGGTGTTTTTTTTTTTAAATACATGATTAACCCAACAGCATCTGTGTAAAGCAGGGGTCTCCAACCTTTTTTAAGCACAAGATCACTTTAAGTTAAGTGTGATCCAGGTTCTACCTCAAACCCAAAACCCCTCACCCCACGTCCTGCCACATCCATTCTCTGAGGTTCCGCCCCTGCTCACTCCATTTTCCCCACCCTGCACCTCAAACAGGAGGCTCCTAGGGGGTGCTCCAAGGCACAGAGTATGAACAGTATGGCAGTGGGGGGAGGGGCAACTGAAGTGCCAGCCCTTGGTAGCCTCTTGGGCAAACCAGTCAGGATCACCTGTCAGTGGCTCCAACATCTACCGGTAGATCCTGATCTAATGGTTGGTGACCACTGTTCTTACTCACATTAGGGCAATCTACACTCTTATGTGGAATAACATGTAAATTACCTAAAATTCATATAGCCAAAAAGCATTCACACCAATAGAAAGTATTCTGCTACAAGTATTGTCCAGTCTGTAATCTGTTTGCATGTTTGGGCTAACAGTTCCAAAATTGCAAAAAATTTAGTAAACATGCTTGCTAAATGGGTGAATGCAGTTTTAAATGTAATGGAAAAGCACATGTATGTGGAGGAGTCTGATTGTTTAGCAGCAAAAACACAGCAATTCAGAAGCACCCTTAAAGTTTAATATATCTGCAACTGAGAGTCTGATGTGAAGAGGAGGAAGAAAAAATGGTTATAAATACTACTGAACAGCATTCATGTTCAGTTTTTTAATACTCAACGCTCTTTATAATGATTTCACCCTCAATACCCCTATGGAAAAAGTCAATTTGATGGTTAACGCCCCATTTTACACGTGGATTAACTGCAGCAGCAAGATTAAGTCATTTGCCAGTGGCCACAGAGTGTGTTACCAGGGCTCAGACTAGAATGAGGGAGTCCTTGGCTTTCAGTTCTACATTCAAGCCTTGCCACTCTCATAATTTAGAGGAAATCAAATCTCTCAGACCATTCAGGTAAGAACTAAACCTGTGATGATATTATCTTTGTGAGTCTGACCCAAAATAGATCCTTTATATCATCCCATACGGATACAGCAGATGTAATGAATGTTATGCACCAAGCAGAAACTCACATCTATTGCATCTCTCTCAAATATGCGTAGCTGCAGGAAGAGTTCAAGCTTGATCTTGCGTTCCTGAAAAAGCTCCTCCATTTGAGACTGGGCCTCATCCAGCTGCTGCAGGACTGTCTCTATGTGATTGATGGAACTGTTGTGAGGGGTCTTGTTACTAGAAATGGCAGAATCCCTATTGAAAGTGGAGAGGAAGGAAAAAGGGCCTTTTGAAAAAAAGCAACAGGAATTGGATTACAGTCAACTGTTAAATGTGCATGACAAAGCTCTTTAACTAAAACCATTAGTATGAACAACACTAAGAGGAAGCTGGTCTTGTTTCAGCACATAAAGTCCTTTGAAACATCATTAGAATTATGCTTTAGCAATTTAATAAAGCATCAGGATACTAAATTGCCATCTTTTTCTGCCTTAGTGTTCAATATATTAGCACATTCTTACATGTATTCAATCCACATTTTATTTGTGTCAAAAGTAAAATGTGAACCCATGCTAAACCTTTCATTTTGAAGAGGAAATGAAACATGATGACTACATGCTTCATTGTACGCTGAATTACATGATTCAACTTTACTTGAGCATAAAGCCAAAAATAAACAACTACCACCACAGATGAGTTAACACCCACTTCTGAAGGATATAAGAAGTGCCCAAGGATTAATTTAAGCTACTAGTAATGGACACATATTCATTGTGCCTCTACTGAAAAAAAGCCAATCATGTCACATGCTAACATTCACAAGAATTTGAAGTACCAGTTTAAAAAAAAGTATGTTTCTTTAGAGTGGGCTACTGCTCAGAGTTCAGTAATACTTAAATACTGAACGCCAGAGTGGCATGTCGGATGCCTGTGATGGATACCATGCTGACTCATAATACCTAGAGACAGTTTATGGAGGCTGACTCTCGATTATGTGAAGGTAACATGTATGAGCCCAACTTCTCGTAAACAAAGGTTTAGATAAGATCTGCATAGAATGAAACATCTAATATTTATATTCATGCAGGGTAGCATCTTATACTTGCCCTTCCCCTTTCCCTCCCCCCCAAAAAATCAAGAAGGTAACGGTCCATGTAATATCAGAAGTATATGAGGGGAAGTAGCTTAAGGAATAATATGCCCAAATACTTGGGAGACAAAATGTTAAGATTTAACACTAACTTCTTTAAAAAAAATGTATTACCTTAGTTGCTGTATAAGATCCTCCCCTTCCTTGATGACATTGACAGTAACCTGTAAAGTGGTCTGCTGCTGCTGGCCAAAGCGTTTGATCAGCTCTTGTACTGCCTCCACAGACTCTGCATAAACATCATCAAGCAGTTCTTTTTGTAATTCCTCAAGCCATGTCCACAGCTACAAGACAAAAGAAATGAATGCTGGTATCAGTCAGACAGTACGTTGTCTGAATTTCCATGGAAGAAGCAAAAAGATGGGAAAACCACAATATTTGTTTCTGCTTATATGAAATTCAGTTCTCAATGCTGAAAAAAAATTGATGAGCCCGCATCAGATAGAAGGTAAGGGTCTTGTTAGAAAAACAAGTGTTGTTTTAGTCATGCTGCTACATTACCCTCTCTTTCCCATTTTCCTATTAGACTGTGTCTGAGCGACCAGCACAGAATTCAGAGTCTGCCCCATCTGCAGCTCTGTGAGGTAGTCACTGGGAGGAAAATGCTATGGTAACACTCCCTGAGAGAAGGAAGGAAGGAAGGGAGATGTATCTCAACAGCTAAATTTACACTGCCAAGTGACACACATACATAAAGGTACATGGTACTGAGCAGTGGTCATGAAAATCAACAATTGCAGTTAAAGGGGTACATCAAAAATAAACTCAACTCTCCTTCTAGCCTCATTCCACAACACAATCTCAGACAGTGTCCTAAAGAAAATATTCATATGCTATTATTAAGTCACTACAGTTAATTATGCTGTCCACTTACTCATTGCAGAATCATACTAAAACCAAAGTATACAACTTGCAATGCCAACTGGTTGAATTATTCGTTACAACTAATTTACCCTATACACTTCCATCTTTCCATCTTTGTACTTTTTCAGCAAGCATGCTTACTAATCTTTTTGCATTTTGGAACGGTTAGCAAAAATTTCCCAAACACACTTTAACCTGTAAATAACAAATCATGGAGTATTTACTATTGTAAATACTATTGGCTACTCAGGTTACATCACTGTGAGCTTTCTACTGTACCTGCTCTAAGCTGAAGGAAGAAAGCTTAATTATTCTGTAAGTGGCTGTCAGCACAACATGGTGCTGTCCATATCAGTGCTTAAGTCTGTGTAAGTTATGTTGCTCAGTAGAAGGAGGGGGCTAATTCACACCCCTGAGCAAGGAAGGGAGATGTATCAACTTGAATGTATATCAACTTCAGCTGTCACAACAGATTTGGATGACGTATGGACCCACCAACAGTGGGGCAACTGCCCCGATGATTCCACAGGGCCCGGAGCTTCCAGCAGCTGCTATGACTGCAGCCAGAGCCTGGGCCCTTGAAATTGCGGATGAATGGTGCTGAGCTTCTGAGGGCTGACTGCCCCAGCCCTGGCCCTTTCTGCCCTCTCCTCCCAGAAGCATAAAGCCAGCCCCTTCCCCACCACCTTGTGCCAGGGCCCAGCAATTCTGTCAGCCCCCCTTGAAGATGCGGTATTTTCTTCATAAATGATTCACTAACCTTTGCAGCTGCCAGACATCTTTTGTACAAATGGCCAAAAACACTGTTCAAAGAAGCGGAGAACTCACTTCTGGTATGAATACTCCTGGGAGTACTTTGTGTTGTTAGTATATGCGACATGGGACACAGTGTGAGGGATAAAACCACTATTCCTGCAAGTATCTTTAGTCAGATCGTCTGTCTAATTTATCACGACCTCTCAAATCTTTGTATCTGAACATCATAAGTTCTTGAAATCTGATAGAGGGTTTTTTATATAAACAATTTGATTTTTTCAAAGGAAAAATAAATCCTATTTGAGTTCTAAAGAGGTTCTTGCAAGGTGAGTTTTGGCTTTCTAATTTTGGGCTAGCTCTACCCTTCCTGGCTGCCTCCACAAGTATTTCCCTGCTATGCTATGCTCCAGACACAGAACAAGCAGAGGTTTCCTTCTGAAGAGCCAACAAGCAGCAGTCTGATCCCACGCACAGAGGCAATATGGAGACTGGCCCAACAGGTTTGATGACTAGCTGCCAAAAACGGAGCTTGTTCCTAGACACAGAGCCAGTATGGTTGCAAACAGGCCCCATGCGCAATGGCTAAATCAGGGTGTCAGGCACTGATCTATTTGCTTAGTGGTTAATCCAGTCTTGAATACTCACAGTTTAAACAAAAAAAAAACTTAACATGCAGTGTTTGTCTAGTTGTGATGAAACCTGCTAGCAAATTAAACATTTGTATGATTGCTGAACTCTCTTAGGATACACCTGCAGCAAATATATTTTACCAAGTAAATCTTTTATGCTCTCTCCCCAAGCTGACCTTTGAAAAGAATATTAAAATGATTATTCCCCAAAAATATTCTTGAATCACAGAGCATACATACACAGTTTAAATTTGGCTGCTACAGATCAACATGTCATAACATTATGATCAGAGGGGGAAGCAGGTATCTAGGTAATTGTAGTGGTGAATCTAGCTCATGATGAACTCGAGCAGCTGATTGCCTTGTATACTGATTCACAAAAACGGCATTAGCATTGGGTAAAGTGTCATCACTTGAGACAAGTTTCTATCAAGAGGCAGGAAGTCAAGTTAAGAAGGAATGAGGGTATGAAGACACAAAAAATGCTGAAGAGAATCCTATTGTTTTTCACATGAGGGTACAAGGAGGCAGAGTCAATAAACAGATGTTTCTTGGCAGAGAACTACAGCTGTTTAGAATAATAGCTAAACAATGTTCTTCTAAAAATAGGTCAGGATACATAAAATGAAGCCAAATCCTAAAAACAAATAGAAATACTTATTATTAAAATAAACAAGACATTTCTCTTTGAACTGAAAAGAAAGGAGGATTTCAAAAAGACATGGCACCAAGGGCAGAGGTGGGCAAGATACATCTCGCAGGCTGGATGCAGCCTGCCAAGCCTCCAGATCCGGCCTGTGTACCACTCTGTCAGGACCCTCAGGCATGCAGCAGCCGCTGTTTTAAGTGCAGGGCTGTTCTGTGTTCCTCTCTGCTCCAGAGGGAGGGAAAGTTTTAGGATGATCTTCTCAGCCCCAGCCCAATCCTCAGATCCTATTGGCCAGAAACAAGCCAATAGGAGTTGAGATATTAGCCTCGGGGACGGGGACAGAGCAAGCCTCTTGCCCCTCCCGGAGCTGAGAGCAATGTGGAGGGAGCAGCCTGCAGTTTTAAGCAATCTGGGGCTGCAGCAGGCAGGGAGCCCAGCCTGCCTTGGGGGTATTGCAGGACTGCTGGCCGGGAGACACTTAGGTAAGCGCCTCCCAGCCAGAGCCTGGCTCTGGCACCCCTGCCCCACCCCACCTCAACTCCCTTCCCAAGGTCACCATCCAAACCCTCTGCATCCCCCTTCCCCAGGTCACAATTCCCTCCCAGACCCTATACCCCCTTCTATACACCTCTCCTGTGGGCCAAAATCCTCTCCTCCACCTATACTCCCTCCCTAAGCCTACACCTCAATTCACTGACCCAGGTCACAATCCCCTCCTTCACCCAAACTCCCTCTCAGACATCACATGGTCTCCTGCATCACAGTCCCTTAATCCATGCACCCTTCTGCAATCAACCTCCATCCTAAACCCCGTACCTCCTCCACAGAAAAGTGTGGCCCTTGACCACTTTCTGAACTCTTGAACCCTGCCCCCCCACCACTAAAAATTACTGCCCATGCCTGCACCAGGGGCACAGACCTAAGGATTAAGTTCAAACTGCATTCAGCAACAATGAGAACTTTTTTTAAATTTTAATTCAATAGCTTTTTTCTAGAAATTAGGGAATTACTGCACAAGTAGGTAAGAGTACAATCTCAATACAAACCTCTTCATCTGTCCCACTTGGCTCTAAATCTTATCACCCTTGAAGCTCATACACAAAACTGAAATGCGCATCAGAATAATAGATTTAAAATACTGTCCATTATTACAAACTTGATTTCTAATAAATATCCTGCAGAAGAAACACAATGCTCAGTCCAGTGTAGCAAGAATGATATTTTGGCTTAGCGCATTTTTCTGTTGCATTTGTTTTGCAATGTCATCCCTGCATTCCACACACTGATTTGAGAACAAACCACATGCCATTAAATTGGGAAGCATTTTAATACTCAAAGTAGGATCACAGAACAAAAACATACAACCACAAAGGAATCACTTCTCTTATACTTTCAGATTGTAACTTGCACAGAAGATTGCCTTAATCTTGCACCTGTAGTTCAAATTGTCTTGCAAATTTAGAACTAGCCTGGATATATTAAATACTCATTTCCACTTCTTCTGTTTGCATAGGTTTAAAAGTTGACCATGTTATGGTTTGGTCTATACTCGTGAGTTACCTCAGCATATTGATACCAAGCAAGGGTGTGAAACCCCCCCACTTCCGGCTCACATGGTTATGCCAATGAAACTCTGGGGGAAACACAGTTTTTCTGATAGACGAGGGTTCCTATTGACACATATAGGGCATGTCTACACTGGCAAGTTTTGTCGCCACCCCCCTTTTTTAGCACCACAACTCCAATAGAGCTCACACTGCAATGCGACAAAAGTTATGAAAAACGACCAGTTTCAGCAACAAAAACTTGCACCTCCACGAGGGTCTTGTTTCTTTCCCCCTCCCTTTACTGTCGACAGTCATGCACTGCATGCCACGGGAGGCTTTTTTTGCTTTTACTTAACTCCAGGATGTTTCCTGCAATGCCCAAGTAGCCACTCTGGGCAGCATTTTGAACTCTGTTGCCCTGCAGCCAGATAAACAGGAAGCCACCCCGATCTCTTGTAAACCCCAGGAAATGTAAAATTCCATTTCCTGCTGCATGGCTCAGTGTGGAATGCTGTCATGGCATCTTCTGAGCTGATCATATGGCCACTAGTGAGGTCACATCTGGAGCAGTGCATCCAATTCTGGGTCCCCCATTACAGAAAGGATGTGGATACATTAGAGCAGAGGTTGACAACCTATGGCTCGTGAGCTATATATGGCTCACTTAGGAGCCAAATACGACTCGCAGCTCGAGCTCAGACCACTTTGTACCCCGAGAGATTAGAGCTAGCGCTGGCTTCCTGTGTGAAAAGTAGGGGGTTGGGAAAGCCCCAAGCCTCACTGTGCAATCGGGGAAGAAGCCAAAGCCACAAACAGCTCCGCTCCCCCTCCCTGACCTG